AGTGAGAAGTGATTCTCCTAAATTCTGTTGTATACTGAGCAGCAGAGGTCTTTTGACATAGCTTCTGTAGCTCTCTTTCTGCTGTAGCAGTTTCGTTGATGTCTCCAAAGGTCCTGGTAAGTTCCTCTTGAAACTGGTCATAAGAGGTAATCAAAGGTGTAGTGGTATTTTGGTTGTTGCCACTAAGTCTTCTAAGATATGGCTCAAAGAAGTTGAATGCAGATCCACGGAGGTAGCTGGCAGCGAAATATATCTTCTGTGTGAACTGATGAGGCCTGAGGGTGAAGTAGATGTCCAGTTGCATAAGAAATCCCTTCAACTTCCTCCTGTCTCCATGGTATAAATCTGGTGTTTGCACTTTAGGAAGTGCACCTGGGGTACCCGACATAGCCAGAGGAGATGTGGGAAGCTCTGTATGATGTGTCTGAGTTGAGGATTGTGTTGCTGAAGTGTTGGCTTGAAAGGTGTTTTCCAAATTCTCAAGTTTGTTTGCTATATTTTGTATAAAGGCAAACAGTTGTTGCATCTGCTGTTCAGCAGTAGTTGTAGGAGCTTGGTCGTCCTCCATTGTAGTATCAAAGTGCTGCTATAGAAATAGTTGAAGCTTGAAGCAGACAAGGTGTAATGGTGGGTGCACCAGATGTGAGAATCTAGCCACCCAAGGAAGGGATGAATTTACTAAGACAACACACTGTCTTAGAAAACAGAGCCAAAGGGTCGTAGCTTACAATCAGGTGTGTGATGTACTGAAGTGGTTCAGACAAGTTGCAACAAATGTTGAGTCTGGGAACTCAGGGGTAAGTCAGAGGTTAACACCTCACTGACTTTTCAGAAACAAGGAGTAACAAGATGAATGCTTGGAAGCTTGGAAAAGACGTGGAAGTATGTGATAGTCGATTTACTGTATTGTCTGCTTGCCCTTTCTTAAGGAAAAGGGCAATCCTATTTATGCTAAAGGAGTGTAGTTCTCTCATTTTCCAAGACTTTCCATGATTACCAGGCTTGGTAACTGTAGTCGACGTAAGAGAATCCCATAGAACCATCTCTTAGGTTCGTAGCCTATAGGAAGTAAAAGGAGGTCCAAGGTCAGAGTACCCCTATAGACAAATTATGTCATAGACAAATTATGTCATAGACAAATTATGTCATAACTTAACCAATCTTGTGGGTAACTAAAGAGCGATGACATGTAATGAATCATAGATGGTTGTAGCAATCGTTGAGTAGTATTGCTCTTGTTGTTGGTGTGATAAGCCAAAATATGTATAGTGACTTGTAGGTTTGAGGAGGAGATTTCCAAGTTTGCTCTTGAGTTTGATAGCAAACTGAGTGCAACGAATGTCAGTATGACAAACTGCTACAACAGAAATACTACTGGCCAGGGATGAGGAGGGACGTGAAGGATTACCTCTAGACGTGCGACGTCTGCCAACGCACGAAAACTAAGAGACACATGCCCTACAGTGAACTGGCGCCCTTCCAACCCCCGACAACCCCCTGGCAGGAGATCATGATGGACTTCATTGTGGGGATACCGCCGAGCCGGTTCTGAGGCCGGGTCTATGACTCGATACTCGTCATCATGGACAGTTTCACGAAGATGACACAGTATATACCCGTCAACGCCACCATCGACACCCCAGAACTCGCGGAAGTCTTCGTAAACACTATCTTCAAAGGCTGCGGAGCCCCGACGTGTATCACCTCCCACCGAGGCCCCCAGTTCACGAGCGCGTTTTGGGCAAGTTTCATGTTCTACCTCCAAATACGGAGGCGATTGAGCACCACTTTCCGGCCCCAAACTGATGGCCAGACGGAGCGTCAGAACCAGACGCTAGAGCAATACCTTCGCTGCTACTGCGACTACTCCCAGGGCGACTGGGCTAGCAAACTGGCCCTAGCAGAATTCTCCTACAACAACTCAGAGCACGAGTCGATGGGACATACCCCGTTTTACTTACTGTATGGCTATCACCCAGTCATCGAAGTCACAGCAGCAAAGCCGGTCGACGGCGCTGGTACAGCGGCGTCCCGGGTGGAGGAACTCCAGCGGGAATGAAAGGAGCTGGAGACCACCCTCCGTAGAGCCACGGAGGCCCACAAGAAACAATATGATCGGAAGCACAAGCCAATGCGGTTCCGGGTTGGTGACCAGGTAATGCTCGCAGCAAGGAACATCCGCCAACTCCGCCCCAACCGGAAGCTCTCCGACAAGTACCTAGGCCCGTTTAGAGTCACGGAAGCCATTGGATCGCATGGACAGTCATATCGCCTCAATGTAATGCTGACTTCTAAATGATAGAAGACACAGAGGTTTCTTGTGTAAGGTTGACTTGACAGAGGAGGCAGGGGATTAGACACAAAGGCTTTCCAAGTAACACGTTACAGTATTGTAAAGAATACTATATTGAGTTGAGCACGAAGCTCCTATCTAAGGAAATACTATCTACTTATATAGTGGCGTCGTGCCTCATGGGTAATCTGGATAGTTGGCGGATAGCTAGATATTCAGGATAGTTCATGGATAGCTCAACTATCCAACATCCACTAGTTTCTGCAACTATCCATTAGCCCCGTCACATGGCAGCCTACCCCGCTTCCCCCTGTGACTCACACGTCACGTTACTAGGCCCTGGCCCTGTAACTATGACGTCATGTTACTGTAGCTGTAACACTCAAGCTCCCAGGAGGATACCGCATCGACGATGTGTTCCACGTGTCCCTACTAGAGTACCACGCCCGGACCGGGACAGTGCTGCCTCAGGCGACACAGACCCGAGACCAAAATGAATGGGAGGTACAGTCCATTCAAGCACATAAGGAAACCCCTAAAGGGCGTCGATATCTCGTCTGATGGAAAGGATACTCTCCAGCAGAGGATACGTGGGAACCCATCGACAACTTAGTTAACGCGCCAGACACCCTACAAGCATACCACAAAGCCGCCCCACAACCGATCCGGACAAGGGTGTCATACTGACATTCGTTGCACTCAGTTTGCTATCAAACTCAAGAGCAAACTTGGAAATCTCCTCCTCAAACCTACAAGTCACTATACATATTTTGGCTTATCACACCAACAACAAGAGCAATACTACTCAACGATTGCTACAACCATCTATGATTCATTACACGTCATCGCTCCTTAGTTACTGGGCCGATATTACCACATAGCATATCTCTACAACCCTCTATGATTCATTACATGACATCACTCATACTACCACATGACATATCTCTACCAACTAGAGGCCTAGGAGCATGAACGATAGCTCTAAAAGCTCCTACGAACCTCTATGATTCATTACATGTCATCGCTCTTTAGTTACCCACAAGATTGGTTACGTTATGACATAATTTGTCTATGACATAATTTTTCTATGACATAATTTGTCTATAGGGGTACTCTGACCTTGGACCTCCTTTTACTTCCTATAGGCTACTAACCTAAGAGATGGTTCTATGGGATTCTCTTACGTCGACTACAGTTACCAAGCCTGGTAAGTCATGGAAAGTCTTAAAAAATGAGAGAACTACATTCCTTTAGCATAAATAGGATTGCCCTTTCCTTAAGAAAGGGCAAGCAGACAATACAGTAAATCGACTATCACATACTTCCACGTCTTTTCCAAGCTTCCAATCATTGATCTTGTTACTCCTTGTTTCTGAAAAGTCAGTGAGGTGTTAACCTCTGACTTACCCCTGAGTTCCCAGACTCAACATTTGTTGCAACTTGTCTGAACCACTTCACTACATCACATACCTGATTGCTGCGTTGTGGAATAGTCTAAGCTACGACCCTTTGTCTCTTTTTCCTAAGACAGTGTGTTGTCTTAGTAAAATCATCCCTTCCTTGGGTGGCTAGATTCTCACATCTGGTGCACCCACCATTAAAAGCGGGTGCAGTTCATTGACTAGATGGCAGTGGGTGGCAGCAATGCCGCTTAAGATATAGTCAGACCCCCTGGAAACTGGGCAGCAGAACGAAGACCGTGGGGGGCGTCCTCTCTGAGAGCCCCGCGGTCCCGAGTCTGCTGGTGGCATTGCAGCTTGCTGCGGCACCTGGAGTAAGTGCTAGTAGCTGGTTCCTGCCGAAGTTTCCCTCAGGATAGCAGTGTTGAATTCAGTTTTATGAGGTAAAGCGAATGATTAGAGGCCTTGGGGTTGAAACAACCTTAACCTATTCTCAAACTTTAAATATGTAAGAAGTCCTTGTTACTTAATTGAACGTGGACATTCGAATGTACCAACACTAGTGGGCCATTTTTGGTAAGCAGAACTGGCGATGCGGGATGAACCGAACGCAGAGTTAAGGTGCCAGAATATACGCTCATCAGATACCACAAAAGGTGTTAGTTCATCTAGACAGCAGGACGGTGGCCATGGAAGTCGGAATCCGCTAAGGAGTGTGTAACAACTCACCTGCCGAATGAACTAGCCCTGAAAATGGATGGCGCTTAAGCGTATTACCCATACTCCACTGCCAGGGTAGAAATGATGCCCTGGCGAGTAGGCAGGTGTGGTGGTCAGTGATGAAGCCTTGGGAGTGATCCCGGGTCGAACGGCCCCTAGTGCAGATCTTGGTGGTAGTAGCAAATACTCAAATGAGAACTTTGAGGACTGAAGTGGGGAAAGGTTCCATGTGAACAGCAGTTGGACATGGGTTAGTCGATCCGTTTTAATGTGCGCACTTGTGCGCCGTCCCTCGAAAGGGAAGCCAGTTAATATTCTGGCACCTGGATTTGGATTCTCCACGGCAACGTAACTAGTGTGTGTCATGGGTAACCGGTGGTTGCAAATACTGAAGAAACCGCCCAAACCGACGTGGGCACCCAGCGGTTCCTTGGAAACCCATCACGTGTGATGAATTGTCACACGTAATGGGTTGCCACACATGATGGGTTGCCATAAATACAATCATTACTATAGTTATTACTATACAGTTACAATAGACCAATATAGTAGAAACGTTTCATTGGATTTCTACTATCTGTATCCTGCTACTCATTTGACCTATTCCTGGTATCTTCCATCTCTCCTATCTTAGTTGGCCTGGAAATGAAAACCCCATCATGTATGTGTAAGCACACCTGCTGGACAAGCTTCATGTCCTTCTGTTGAATTGTGACTCTCTTTGCGTGGATAGCAGCCAGCTGGGTCACTATAACAATTACTATAATGATTACTATAAACGTGTAGACTCACTTACTTTCAAACTCCTTGACGAGTGCAGTTTCTGCAGCTTCCTGGAGAGCAGAAATTGCAGAAGACTGAAGCCGAAAGTCCTCGTGAGGGTGCAAGTCGCTGATGATCTCATGGATAAGTTGCGTGAATCGCACGGGGAAGGAGAGGTTCTGTCGATTTTTGGTACTGTTTGATTTGTCGGAGAGCAACGGCTGTTTTTGATCAGAAAGGATTTATAGTAATAGTTATAGTAATCAACTTACTACCAGGCTTATAACGACGGCTTTTCTTCGCGGCCTTCTTCACAATCTTCTTTCCGCTGATCTCTGAGGTCTTTCTTGGAGCCTTTCCAGCAGTCTTTTGGGCCGGCATCTTCTTGCTGAACTTTTGACCAGGCGCAAACGTTGGAATTGGACCTTTCCGAACCTTGTGTTGTGTCGCTGGAGGGGTCTGGAGTTGAAGGCGTGCACTCTGGCGAGTTGGAGTGTTTGGCTCAAGTGCTGGTTGTACTTGTGGTTGTCGTGACCGAAGTGAATAGTTGGTCAGTTGCATGAATTTGTGGGATTGTTTGAGTGGGGCTTTTTTTCCATCGGGCTCAGTTTCAGATTCGGAGCTTGTGACTGGATCAGGGGCATCGTAGGCAGTGTCCAGATCCATGACACTAAAAGAGGGTTACTATAAGTATTACTATAAGATTTGGGTGCTTTACTTACCAGTTTGCCAGCCAGTAGCAATTCACATAGCCATGTTGATCTGAAGGTCGGGGGGGTGTTGTGTAGGAAAAATAAAGGTAGGGTGAGGTTGTTGTTGTTGGGGTTGTGAGCTAGCTCGCTTAGTAAAATGTCTTCAGCTTCACTTTTTGTACGGTAGTAGGCGATAAAGGTGAATTCTCCCACAACAATAGTAAGGACAACAATAGTAAGTGACCTTATTGACGTGTTTTACCCCACAACAACAACCTTCTTCTTCAATCTTCTTCTTCAACCTTCTTCGTCAACCCCCACACCCCCAACACCCCCAACACCACCGACACTTCTAAGATCAAGGAGGTAAGTCTACTCAATCCTTTCTACTTACTTTATAGTAATTGTTATAGTAAGACAGCCACGATGGTTGGAAAATGAAAGAAGACGAGAAGTCGAAGAACAAGAATACCCAGCAGGTCACAAAATGCCGCAACAACATGAGTGAAGTTGAACGCACAATCGATAACGCCAAGAGGGCAGATACAGCTGCTGTTTCATATGCCTTGCGAAATCTCCGGGCAACTTCTGAGTTCAAGAACCTCGACAGCCAAGCTCAAGAACGTCGAGTAGAAGCCCAAAAGACCGAGGTAGCTCTCAAGTGGTAAGATCTATTCCTATCCACTGTTATAGTAATAAGTATAGTAACATAGAAACAGTGTACGTGATGGAAAGCATGCAACTGTTGTTCAGCAACGTCTTGGAATTGGTGAGGGAGGGGGGGCATATTCTCTTTGGGACAACGGAAACATTGCTTGGGAAACCAAGGATGAGGATGATGAGGTAGTGCAAGAGGCTATGTGGAGGGAAGATGAGAAGGCCAATGGCGTTGATGATGTTGGAATTCAGAAGATCCAGAGAGAAATGGTGGCACAATCTGTCGCTACAACCAAGGTATGGATGAGAACCCATTACCCATTTACATTTGAGCTTTACTAATATAATATAGAAGGTGGATCAGTTGGGATTCTCCCTCTGGCGCCGAAAGTGGAGGGTTGCATACCAATCAACGTTACGACTAATGAAGAAGGTCAACACAGACCCAGACTTCCTTGAGAAATTGCCCCCTGCAATTGATCCAACTACAGGGTAAGTAACTATAGTAATAATTATAGTAACTAGCTAACATCTCTAGGATCTACTACAACAAGGTTCCACCACATCTATACTTCTCAAAGACGGAAATGGCTGTTTGGAGAAACTTCACCTCATGGAATCTTGATGGTGACATTGCATATCTTTCTTCCTGGGCCAGCTGAGTGGTACCCTGATGATTACGATACTACTCAGCATGGTTTCCATGTTGATCTTGATGCTGGCAGAGCATATGAAGCTTGGGAGATGTTGGCTGAAGAAACCGAGCCTACCAATTTCAAGTGGGTCTTGCCATCCGATGATACATTGGTACTGTTGCCTCCAACAAAAGAATCAGAGGAGTTTCTCAGCCAGTTCTACGAAATGTAGATTAGTTTCTTCTTCTACAATAGTCTAGGTAGATCAATACACTACTGTTGACGCTACCACTTCTTAGTTTACTATAAATATTACTATAATTGGCTTATAAGGCTATAGGCCCATAATACCAAAACACACTACTACCATATACTCCACAAGTAATCTAAAATATTCTAAAGAGGAGAATTCAAGCGAAATAGAGAAGTACGTATAGAATAGATGTAGACCTTAATAAATATTCAGGTTGACTGTTTTATTTTCCTTATAATAATATAATAACGTATTTCACAAGCGAGTTGGCCACCCAAGCAAGTTGGCCACCAAAACACCAAAATTGACTATTACTGCCTACTACTACACCACCACCCTACATAATGACCCTTATTCGATCGTAATTGAATCCTTGTGCCTCGTACATGTACGGGAGTTATGGCCCATAATACCACATATGCCACAGCGCTTCTGTCGGCCTGTAGAACCCACCTGCCGACAATGCTCACTTGCCACCTCCGTACGGACTTGAGCTTCTACCTCAGCACTCTGAAGCATATCCTCTCCCTCTCGTACGGAGAGACTGCCCCCTTGCATTATACGCCTCTTGCGCTTCCTTTCCCTCCTCTTTTTCTGTTCATTTGCCGCTTGTAGAGCCTTAACTTCTGCCTTAAGTAGAACAGCAGAATGCATCATCATTTCCGCCCCTTTAACAAGGCAGCTAACAGCATCATTAATTGAGGTAGGAGAGCTATTCTGATGTCGTACGATGCGGTTCTTAATGTGCTCTGTTTGAAAGTTAAGCTCCCTTATAGTTTGAGGAGTCTTTGAAGTCCAATTGTCACTCTCAACTATAGGAGGTGTTGGAGTCCTTAAGCGTAGATTTAAGTGAGAGAGGACACTCTGTGGCTCGTACGGAACTAGTCCTGTAGCTCGGAATCCGCTCTTGATGTTCTGCTCTGTAAACGTAGCTTTGAATGCTTCTTTGAATGCAGAGAGGAACTCAAGCTTTGTGATGTGGTTTAGCCGGTTCCGTACGAAGGTTTCAATCTGCTTTCCGTACGAAAGCTTTAGTGGCGCAAAGCAGCTCACATCAAGAGGCTGAAGAATGTGTGATGAGTGTGGTGGCATACAGAGGGTAATTATCTTCCGTTCTGTGCAGTAGTGTTGAAATTGAGCAGAGATGTGGCTCTCATGTCCATCAAGAATAAGAAGGCGATAGGTTCCGACCGTACGAGCATTTGTATGTCGATTGAAGTGTTGAATCCACTCATACCCAATTGAATTTGAAGTCCACCCATTCTCACTAAGCGTAATCACCCAATTGTCTGGTAATCCTGAGTCTTCGTACCAAGCTGAGAGGTGATTCTGCGCCTTGAAAATAATGAACGGCGGGAGTGCCCATCCGTACGAATTAACACCTTGGATAATTGACACCCACTCTCTATTCCCTGGCTGTATAGTCTTTGGACGGCTCTTTGCTTCTGAGCTTGTGACTACCTTTGCAGTAGCAATAACTCCCATTGCGAAACCTGCTTCATCAAAGTTGTAGATGTCCTGCTCTAAGATGCCATATTTTGCGACTGTGTTTCGTACGAGGGTGAACCACCCTTCAATTATCTTTGGATCTTCGCATTTTGCTCGTTTGTAATCGTACTTCCGACTAAACTTTGCTTTAAGTTCCGTACGACGCGTTATGAAGTTACTAGTCCAGTTCTTCCCAGTAGGGCTCTCACCTCGTTCGGAGAGTAGTAGGTCTGCCATTTCTTGCACAGCTTGCGGCCGGGGCGGAAATCCACGCGAATCTAGGTCGAGAATATACTGAACAAGAGCTGACTCTTCGTACGAAGTTAGGTTTTGTGATTTTGGGGTAGAATCACGTCGGGAGGTCATTCCATTCATTCTGTTGGTAAGGGTACTACGTGACACGTCGTATGATAATGCAGCAGCTCGGACACTCTTAAATTGACGTTCCTTTAGTGCCTGAATAGCTAATAGTATTCTACCCTCTTGATTTGAGGATTGGGCTTGTGTTGGTTGTGGCATAGTTGACTGTAGTCAAGTTGACGCGTTTTGGTGTTTTGGTGGCCAACTTGCTTGGGTGGCCAACTCGCTTGTGAAATACGTTATTGAATATTTTAAAATATTATGTCTTATAACCAATCTTTAAGTTCGCCAGCACAACCTTATAGCGATGTATTCTCTCTTGATGAGCCTTTATCTAGTAATAGAACACCTGAGATTGAGTCCTCCCAACAACTTAACAACCAATGGGATGGGCTAGAAAAGATCCAAGGTCTAAATGTGCTAAAGTGGACGCCTTCAAAGGCAGACCTATTCAACGACTGGTGGCATTACCAGTCCTGGTATAAAGAGCAGCCAAATATGTTTTTAAGCACTGATAAGCAAATCAACTGGGGGTCAACAACCCGGACCTCATTATCATGGAGACACTTTGACCAAGGAGCTCGAAAATCAACTGGGGAACCAGTAATTGTTTGCCAGAGGTGTTTGAAAATACTCATCCACCCAAGTATTAAAGGCTCAGGGACAAGCACAATGAGCACTCACCTTCGATCAGCTGGGTGTATAAGGAAGTCATCAAACCATTCTACATTACATCAGAGCCAGCTCCGCCTCTCGCAATCCTCTCCAGTAAGCAATATTACATATTACTATACTTATTACTATAAACATACCTAACGTACATGTATAGCGAAAGCGCCAAACAAGCGAAAGCGCCAAAATTATCTACCCTCACGACAAACATTGCGATAAATCTACCACAACATTAGAAATCAATTGAAACTACTCGGAGTCCTCTTCCTCAGAGGTGTCTATTACAATCTGACACGTGCGCGCATTGTGCCCAGTCTCACCACACTTGCCACAGCGACGGGCACGGGTTTCTTCCCTTGGCTTCCGACCACGGCTTGCCCTTATTTCCTGCTCTACCTGCTGCACAACATCCCTCTCATCCTGTAGCTCTTGCGCCCCTTGTTGACTAAGTGATCCTCCTTGCTGTAGTTGTGTTTTCCTAGCTCTCCGGCGCTTGCTTAGTACTTCATTTGCCTGTCGTAGGTTTTGGTTCTCTCCCTTTAGCAGTGCTAATTGATGCATTATTTGCGATGCACCCTTTGTAAACTGGTCAACAGCTGCATAGATTGAGGTTGGAGAGCTATTTTGATGGCGTGAAATCCGAGTTTTAATAAATGTAGACTGTGACATAGCTTCAATTGGGTTGTTTGGTGTCTGAGAAACCCAAGGTTGAGCAGTACCTGGGCGGGAGCTTGGAGGCGTTGGTGTCCTTAACTTAAGATCAAGTGTAGATATCACTCTCTCAGGGTCAAATGGAAGAAGCCCTGCCCCTCGGAACCCGCCTCGAATGTTACTTTCCGTCATTGTAGTGTTAAATGCAGCGTGGAAGGCAGGAAAGAAGTCATCCTTTGTAATATGAGAAATATGAGC